GGCCCGCGTATCTCCCGTGCCGCCTCTGCGGGGCTTTGGACTCTGAAGCAGCCCACCAGTTTTCCATCCGGCCACCTGCCTGCTCTCTTTGCAGATTGGACCGGCCGCCTGCTGGGGCCACTCTGAGAACTCAGCCCATGGAGTCCGGTGCTCTGGGGGAAGGAGACTCGGCTGCAGTGCCACTTCCCACTGGCGAACAAGCAGAGAAAGAGGCAAGGAAGCCACTGGCGGGTGGGCGGCAGCCCTTCATGTGGAGAGCGGGCCAGGCCTGGCCAGGCCACCATGGAGCCCGTGGTGCTTTCCCTTCAGCCTGGGTGGCTCTGCTTCATCTTGGTGAAGACCAGGTCGCCGCACTTGTAGTGGGCCGTCATTTGCTTTCGTTTTACGGTGGGAGAAAAAAGCGAATGGCAGTTCTGCGGCAGTGCTCCGGGAGGGCAGGCGGACGTCTGCAGCCCTCCAGGGAGGTAGGGTGGCGAGAGTGGTCCCTTTCAAGCACAGCACACGGAGACAGTGGCATGCCTGTTGCTGGGGAGGTATGGTGATTGCTTGTCCAGAGCCGCCTTGGTGGGGGCTGCATTGGCCTTTCCGTCTGCGCCATGTCCCACTCTGGCTAATTGCGCAACTACAAGTGCGGCGACCTGGTCTTCGCCAAGATGAAGTGCTGCCACCCAGGCCGAAGGGAGTGCCACTTGGTCCGCTCTCCGTATGAGGAGCTGCTGCCCACCCCCCTGCAGCTTCCGCGCCTCTCACACTGCTTCTTCGCTGATGGGACGTGGCCAAGTCTTCTTTCCCTGGAGCGCCAGACCCCACAGGGCGGGTTCTCGGAGTGGTGCTGGCGAGCGGCTGGGCCAATCTGCAAAGAGAGCAGGCAGGTGGCCAAGCAGGAAGCCAGTGGGCTGCTTCGGAGCCCGAAGCCCCGTAAAGCCGGCACAGGAGACACACAGGATCAGGTGGAAGGCAACCTTTTCTACAGCATCCCCCTCCCCTCTTTGGATCAAGGGGGGGCTCTGCCTTTGCAGAAACAGGGCAGGTGGTTTGTATGGAGGATTGGTGGGGGGATGCGCGGCCCTCCAAAGATCCACAGTATGTACATTGGTGCTGGCTGGCTGGTTAGCAGCCTACTTCCTTCCCCGCAGCCTTGCCATGCTTGCCTGCCTTCCACGCCAGCTTCCCAGAGACCCCTCACGCCCACTTGCCTTCCAAGGTCGGCATCCAGCCTAGCCCGGCCAGTGGGTTGGTGGGCAGCCCTTGGTGGAGACACAGCCACTGCTCTGGAGCTGAGAGGGGCAGCAGCGGTGGTGCTCCGTGAGGGCAGGTGCTAAGTGGATGTCCCGGGGCTGCTACACATGTGCACTGCCTGCCATTTCAGCCCCAGAGCAGCAGCTGTGTCTCCATCAAGTGCCGCCCTCCCTCCTGGAGCATTTTCTTCTCTCTCCCACTGCCGAAGGAACGAATTTTCCGCCATCCTGCTGGTCCTATGTGCGCAGTTCTGGGATGGAGGAGAGACCAGGCAAACTCTGCCCCCACCGCCACTGCTGGGCGCATCTGCGCAGGAGAACTCCCTGGCATGGCACAGTTCCAGGATGGCGGAGAGCCCAGACAAACTCTGCCTCCATGGCTGCTGCTGCCCGGCATGTCCTCATAGAACTCCCCAGTAAGGTGCAGTTTCAGGACGGCGGAGAGTCTAGGCAAGCTCTGCCCCCACTGCCACCAATGATGCTGCTGCCGGGCGTGTCTGTGCAGAACTCCTCGGGAAGGGCTCTGTCAATGTGCCCAGACCAGGTGTATGTGTGTGTGTGTGTGTGTGTGTGAGAGAGAGAGAGAGAGAGAGAAAGAAAAAGAGTAAGAGAGAAAGAAAGGATAGAGAAAAAGAGAGACAAAGAAAGAGAAAGAATTAGAAAAAAAGAGGAATGGAGAGAGAGAGAGAGAGAGAGAGAGAGAGAGAGAGAAAGGAAGGAAAGAAAGAGAACTTATGACCACAATTGAGCCCAAAATTTTGGTTGCTGAGCTAGTGTTGTTAAGTGAGTTTCACCACATTTTACAAGTTGGGACATGCCCACCCTGTCACATGACTGCCAAGCCACACCCACAGAACCGGTAATAAAAAAATGAAACCTACTTCTGCCCTGCCCCCCATTCTTCTCTATATTCATTACCGGTAGAACTGATAAGGAAGATATAGAAGTAGATAGTATTTAGAATCAACCATCAACAGTTACAGAAACTAGCAGTCAAGATTTAGAGGTAGTCCTCGACTTATGACAATTGACCCAACATTGATGTTGCTAAGTGAGACATATGTTGTGAATTTTGTGGCATTTTACAACCTTTCTTGCCACTTAAGTGAAGCACTGCAATTATTGTTAGTAACACGTTTGTTAAATGAATCTGGCTTTTCCATTGACTTTGCTTGTCAGGTCACAAAAGGTGATCTCATGACCTCAGGACACTGCAACCATCATAAATGTCAGTCAGTTGGCAAGTACATGAATTTTGATCACATGACTGAGGGGATGATGCAGTGATTCAAAGTGTGAAAAGTAAGTTAATTTTTTCAGTACCATTGTAATTTTGAACGGCCACTAAATAAACTGTTATAAGTCAAAGACTACCTATACATCACAGACTAGCACTTGGTGGACAATCCTGAAGACCTAGTAAAAGATATTCAAATACTGATGTGCCTTTAACTACAAAGATCAGAATAGTACAATTCATGGTATTCCCTATGACACTCTACAGAAGTGAAAATTGGACTTTGAAGGAGGATAGGAAGAGTAGTGATGCCTTTAAAGTTGGTGCTGAGAATGCTCCTGAGAATATTGTGTACAGCCAAGAAAACAAATCAACACAGACCTTTCACTCAAGGCACAACTGTCTAAGTTTAAATTATCCTCCTTTGGACACATTATGCAGAGCCCTAATTCACTGAAGAACATTTTATGCTGGGAAAGGTGTAAGGAAAGAAAAAGAGGATCATCAGCAAAGGTGGATGGACTTTTACAGTGGTGATAGATGCACCATGGAAGACCTGAACATACTAGGTTAGGGAATAGATTGTCATGGATGAAAGGTACTGTGTTTCTTCAAAAAGACCACCCACCTTGAAAAGAAGCTCTATCACATTTTTGAGTGCATGCAATCAAATTAAGTCCCACCCACAAAATTAGCCCTATTTAAGACCCACCCACCCCGGGGTGCAGGGGGTGGGGTGAGGCACACAGGTTAAAAATAAGCTAGGGTGGGGATGAGGGCATGGAGCTGCCCTACTTACCAGGTCTTGCACACCACAAGACCTGCCTTGCCGTCACTTGCACGCATCACCTTGGCCTCTGTTTTGTGTTCAGATGCCTGCCGGAAGGCACCTGCAGTTGATAACAGAGCTCTGGATAAATCTGGAGTTCTATTATCGGCTGCAGAGGGCTTTCCAGAAGGCATCTGAAGGCAAAATAGAGGCCAGAGCTATGCGTGAGTGACGGCAAGTCCGCAGATGAAGAGGACCAGCAGCAGGCTCCTGCTGGGTGGGGCTGTCAGCGCCACTGCTGCGAGGTGAGTTAATAATTAGAACCCTCCAAAAAGAAGGCTTAGCCATTTTTTCAGGGATCAAAAGAAAATAAGACCCGGCTTTCTTTTTGGAACAACACAGGTATGTGGTCACTAAGACTTGGTGGTACATAATCTCTCTATAACCAAGGGTTTCAAAGTGATTTCCCATCCTGGGAGTAGGTAATCCAAATTGGAATAGACAGTGAATGGATAAACCAGAATTTCTACTTGTCAATGCAGCAATGGTATTTCACTATTACTTTTAAAATATTAGATTCTTACTCAATTGAGAAACATGGTGAGGGAAATCCCCCCACCCCCCAAGAATGAAATATTTTACGTAATATTAAAAAGGCGGAATATTATATTTCCCTAAAGGAGAAATGGAGAAACATGCTCTGAAAGACAGAAAGCAGTCCCAAGTCTTTCTTAATAGCCCACAGAAGATGCCAGCACTTAAGAGATAAACAGCTCATTGAAAGAGGAAGACAAGTATCTAGATAGCTCTATTCAAAAGCAAAGCAAATACTGCAGGCAGAAATCCATTCAAGACAGGCTATTTTGAAACTCCTTGGCAGAATGGTAGGATTAGAAAGCAACTCCTCACCCAAGATCCAACACAGGACAAAAGCCATTAGCCACAATAGGAATTGCCCAACACCCTTTCAGAACACAAGCGCCTTCATTGCACCACCCTCAGAACAGTTCAAACTTCAAAGTCACAGAAACCTATAAAGATCACTCATTCAACCATTTGTTCAGCTGACCCAGAACTGCACAGTCTTTATGGTTCTGTTCAATAAAACAACTTTCCAATCAGCCTCCATGTTGTTTCCAGCTTCTTTCTCCCAGCTTGGAACTGAACCAGATGGATTTTTCTTCCAACTAGGGAAAAATACACCAGACGAGAAAATAATTAAACAGAATACCTTGCAATTAGCAATTTGGGTTATAGAGCAATAGCTAATTTTGCTAGTTTTCCTTTTGTACCTTCCTTTAGTTTCTCGAGTAAGGAGACTTGCTGCTCTTGCAAAAACTAGTTATTAAAAAAATGCTCAAAAGCACTATGACAGATCTCTCTCTCTCTCTCTTCCTATGCCTTACTATCCCATATCCGTACACCCGAACCATATTCGTTTTTTCATCTTAGTTTAGGATATCACTCCAATCTCGAAGCTTTGCCTCGAAAATTGCTACGAGAAAAACCCACCCGTTTGAAAAAAGACAGCAGCACTTTCCCCTCTTGCTGCTCTATGACGTCAAAGCAGCTGCGTCTGCGCAGAACAACCACTTTTCGCTTCCATACGCCAAACGCGTATTTTTTGAGCTACTTGTGGGAGGGGCTTTGTGCAGAAGAAAAGAGGGAGGAGGAGTGGGTGAGGGACACCCCCCCCCCGGCCCTCTGTAACGAAGGGTGCGCGTGCTTGCTCTGGGCGGTTGCGTGACTGATTAAAAAGGTGGCGACTGGGACAGGAACGGCGCGCGTGCTTCGTTAAACGACTTATCGCTGTCGTCGGCGCGTGGTCGGAGACTCGTCTGCCTCTCCCTTCCCCTCCCGCGCGCTCTCGTTCTGTCCCTGTCGTTTGTGAGTGTGCACCAGTGGGGGAGGGGAGCGAATGAGGAGCCTCTGCCCTCCGCCGGTTCATTTTTGTATTCATCTCTTCCATGGTTGCTGCTCCACCCCTCTGGCTGGATAGCCTTTGCCTGTTTCGCCGGGGTCCTAGAAAAGAAAAAAGGCTCGCGGCGGAGGGGGTGGGAAAAAGGTGACGACCTGGCGGCGGTAGCAAAAGGCAGGCGGGCGGGCGGCTGAGGCCCAGAGGAGAGAAAAACGGGGAGCGGCGGCAACTGGAGAAATTTTCGGCGTAGCCATTGGAACCTCCGGGACGGATTTGGGCTGTTCGGTGTGAAAGGACTGGATTTAACGTGGTGTGCTGCTTGGCGGCGGCGTGGTGTGCGGGTTGCGCGGAGGGGATCCTGCCGGCGCCCCCTCCCGCCTCGGCCGCCTGCAAGGATAATTCTGACCTATCTGGACCATGGCCGACGACGACGTGCTGTTCGAGGATGTCTATGAGCTCTGCGAGGTGATCGGCAAGTAAGTGGCTGGGATGGGGGTGGGGGGAGGCAAATGGGCCAGGAGCGGGGAGAGACCCAAGCAATCGGCTGCAAAGCCTACTCCCCGACGGAAGGGAGGAAAGAAATGGGATAAGAGATGCTCGGTTCCGTTCCCACCTGAGTTGGGCCGCCGCCGTGTCTTATGCGAGGAGATGAGGCCAGATCCTCGTTGCTGGAACGGCATGTTATGACGAGTAGCTTCATCGTGGCGCCCACGCGACATCACAGGATAGGAGAGGTGATCTGATGTGGGGTTTTTTTGTCTAGCTTATTTCTTTCATTCGCCACAGTTAAATCTTTAGTGAGGTCTAATGTTGTAATAAATCCGGTTTTGCTCTGCTTTAAAATGCATGTACATTTATATGACAAGTTGCTGTATCTGGAAGGGTATACCAGGAAATATGACCCTGGGTCCTCCCCCTGGTTTTGTTGTAGTGTCCCTAATGCCAGATACTTTATTGTTTTTTGCTACATAATATTCATCTCATTGGCAAGGAATTGGCACATAGGTAAATGGTCAGTTTCTTCCTAGATCTGTCTCAAAATAATGACTGCAAGAGATATTGGCCTTCTTACTCATTATGCAACTTTTCAAATTAATGTTCACTATTTGCCCAAAAGTGAAGCTGCAACAGTTGCTAAAATGCCTCTGCTTCATATTTTGAATGTCCAATTTGGTAGGTTGTTTGAAAATGGCAGCTGAAGTTTTCTGTTTTCATTTTTATTTTATTTATTTACTTGGAAATTTATATTGCCGCCTATTCGGAATGGCAACTCAAGGTGGCTTACAAGAATATTTAAAGCCTTATATAAAAACAAAACTAGTAAAAGAATCATAAAATACATTAATAATAAAATAAAATAACACCCCCACAACACATTGCAAGAGCCATTTAATGGGTTCCATCCCACTCTGCGTTCCCCAGGCCCACTGGCAGAACCAGGTCTTCAGTGCCTTACCCGTTATTCTAGAAATGAAAAATGCAGTTAATTAAAGTAGCAAAATAATGTAGCTCATTTTGTTTGTTGTCACCCTTCCCCAATACCTGCTTTTGGTTTGGGGAGCTTGTTCTAATCAAATGAAATGTCACTAAAAAGGAAAGTTAAATGGAAATGCATGATAATAACTTCCCTTATTATAAGTGAATATGTTTTACAAGTTAGATGTTTTTGCTCCTATTATGATTTAATGAAATAGCTTTTAATTTATGTTCTGTTGTTACTGTAACTGTTTAAATTCAAAGATTTAGTGTGGAAAAATAATTTTAATATGAATTTTGTTAGGGTTATTTTCATGAAAGTGTTGTGCTATGTTTGCTTTATACAGTTGGGTCTATTTAATGTGTTGTTACACCTTTTGCCAAATATTTAATTTTTACTTTATTATACAACATAACAATACTATCTCACTTTTAATTTTTAACAGCAACTTTCTCTATGAGAAGAAATAGAGTTCCTAACTCATGGTAATTTAGTATGAGCCTAGAAATGTTGGTCAAATATTTATGATTTTTTTTCCATAATTATGGCATTCTTTTTTCTTTGGAAAATAAATTAAAAGTAATACATAGATTGTGTGGCAAATATATTTTATCAACTTTTTTACAGGGGTATAATGTTGAGATCATAGTAGTATTTATCTGCAAACTTACAGCCTTTGGCCTTACTGATTTAATATCAATTTGTGCAATTTTCCTATTCTGCCTGTTATTGTAAGGAAGTTCAGATTAAATCAAACTGGACCAGGTCTTTCAGTGATAGCCTCTTATTTTTGGGAAGAATATTTTTTTTATTCTATCAAGTTTTTTTCATATATTCTTGTTCTCTATAAGCTTTACTGTGAAATATTATATGATGAAATGCAAATGGGATGAATGAAGAAATGGTAGATTTAATATAGAGTAAACCATTAACTCCTTGGTACCAAAAAAATGGTTTGAAGTAAAGAAAGTTGCCTTAGTGATTAACAGGTCATGGTATATTTGGCAAACATGTCCCTAAACTGAGATTAAAAAATAATTTGGTGTATTTTCTGAATACAAGCCACATTTTTCAGACTTACCATCTTTCTGATGTTTGGACATTTTGGCTTGATATTGAAGCACTATTGATATATAATTTACATGAACTGCATAGAGTGCTTAGAAATTATCTGTCTAATAATTACTCTCTTGAAGCCTGGTGTGTGTGTGTAGTATATCACAGAAATGAGTTCACTCCCTCATATTTTATAAATATTTAAGTATATCTTTTCATGTGACAACACTGAAGACAACACTTGGCTGCAATGTAAAGTAGTGAGTATACAGCTTGTATAACAGTGTAAATGTGCTGTCCCCTCAAAATAACACAACACACAGCCATTAATGTTTAAACTGCTGGCAACTAAAGTGAGTACACCCCTAACTGATAATGTTCAAATGGGGGCCAAGTAGCCATTTTCCCTCCCTGGTGTCATGTGACTCATTAGTATTACAAGGTCTCAGGTGTGAAGGGGGAGCAGGTGTGTTAAATTTGGTGGTATCACTCTCACTCTCTCATACTGGTCACTGGCACATCATGGCAATGAATTCTCTGAGGATCTGAAAAAAATGAATTATTGCTCTACATAAAGATGGCCTAGGCGATAAGTAGATTGCCAAGACCTGAAACTGAGTTGTAACATGATGGCCAAGACCATACAGTGGTTTAACAGGACAGGTTCCATTCAGAACAGGCCTCATCATGGTCGACCAAAGAAGTTGAGTGCCTGTGCTCAGCATCATATCTAGAGGCTGGCTTTGGGAAATAGACATATGAGTGCTGCCAGCATTACTGCAGAGATTGAAGGTGGTGGTGGTGGGGTAAGCCTGTCAATGCTCAGACCATACGCCGCATGCAGCATCAAATTAGTCTGCAGGGCTCCAGAAGGAAGGGTCTTCTAAAGATGATGCACAAGAAAGCCCGCAAACTGCTTGCTGCAGACAAGCAGACTAAGGACATGGATTTCTGGTCCAATGAGACCAAGATAAACTTATTTGGCTTAGATGGTGTGAAGCGTGTGTGGTGGCAACCAGGTGAGGAGTACAAAGACAAGTGTGCCTTGTCTACAGTCAAGCATGGTGATGGAAATGTCATGGTCTGGGGTTGCATGAATGCTGCTGGCACTGGGGAGCTACAGTTCATTTAGGGAACCATGAATGCCAACATGTACTGTGACATAACTGAAGCAGAGCATGATCCCCTCCCTTCAGAGACTGGGCCGTAGGCCAGTATTCCAACAGGATAACGAACCCAAACACACCTCCAAAATGATCATTGCCTTGCTAAAGAAGCTGAGGGTAAAGGTGATGGACTGGCCAAGCATATCTACAGACCTAAACCCTATTGAGGATCTGTGGAGCATCCTGAAATGGAAGGTGGAGATGTACAAGGTCTCATAACATCCACCAGCTCTGTGACGTCGTCATGATGGAGTGGAAGAGGAAACCTGTGAAGCTCTGGTGAATTCTATGCCCAAGAGGATTAAGGCAGTGCTGGAAAATAATGGTGGGCACACAAAATATTGACACTTTCGGCCCCATTTGGACATTATCACTTAGAGGTGTATTCACTTTTGTTGCGAGCAGTTTAGACATTAATGGTCCTATGGTTATTTTGAGGGGACAACACATTTATACTGTTATACAAGCTGTATACTCACCACTTTACATTGTAGCCAAGTGTCATTTCTTCAGTGTTGTCACATGAAAAATTATACTTAAATATATACAAAATGTGAGGGAGTGTACTCTCTTCTGTGATATTCCACCCCTCTGTGTGTGTGTGTGTGTGTGTGTGTGTGTGTGTGTGTGTCCATTCATGCTCATTATCTGTCTAGTTCTCATTTTTAATATTGTTCCACCTGATATAAAACATTTTACATGTTACTGAGCCCAAAATAAATGCATATTTAAATGTTTAAAGTGCAAAATAGCACAGAGACCAATTCCCAGCATAATTTTGCATTGCTTTGCAAGACTTTAAAATAATTATTTCAGAAATTATGTATTATAACACTAATCTAACTGAATAAGATCATAATATATGTTCCTCTGCAGCAAAGCAAAGACCATGAAAGCATAGATGATTCTGGGATCTCAGTCTTTTTTCCAGTTTTCATAAATAAAATTTCCAGTCTATTACCATTTTATTTATATAAATGTCTTGTGCTACCGGTAATGGAGAAATGGACAAGCTATTTGGATAGTTGAAATAAAGTTAACCTTTGAAACCTTACAATTTGTGGCTCCTGAAATGTGCCAGAAATGGCCTGAGTAGATATAATTAGTAATAACTATACATTTGCCCAATCTGTATTGTAGGAATAATTGTGAAATTGCTTATGTCAAAGCCAAATCTAAATTCTGTAGCCTTGGAAAATGCTTGCTCAAGAATGGTCTTTGCCCAAAATTGGAAAAACAGGGAAACTCCACATGAAGGGGAAATAATTAGGAAAATCTTGATCTGCGCTGAAATGGATAAATTGACGTGGGAATTGAAGAATAAAGTTGTATCAGAATATTATAAGATCTGGGATAAATTTTATCTATGGTTGGAATATAAAAGGGAAAGCCCAAAATAGGCATTACCAAGATTCATAGAATAGAGACTAGAATTATGCATGAAACAATAAAAGCAAGAATGTACAAGATAAACATAAATGAGCATAGCTGGAAATATGTTACTTTTTCCCTTTTTGTAAATATGGTATGGATCAAATGTTAAAAAAACAGGGTGGCTACAATGTATAACTGAATATCTTAGCATGTATGGCATAGATACTGCCAGGACGGTTTACACTGTGTCCAATGTTTTAATTTATGTTTAATGAAAAACTTTTTAATTAAAAAAAAAGAAAATGCTCAGATTCCATTATATAATTTTTAAATATGGCTTTAGAATAAATGATAGTAAACTCCAGGCAATTTTAGATTAGTTACATATATTCCAGAATTGGTT